GAAATAAGCAACCACAGAACTCACCTCTGTATGCAGTTCTGATATAGTTGATCAGGAAGGTGTTTGAGACCCAGCAGGAGTGGAACGGGGTCACCCTTTAAAATGACCACTTTGGAGCAAGAAATTATTTCAGGTTAACATCCAAGATCTTTACACTACAGCCATATTACTTTTGGTATGCCTACTGCAATTATTATAATATCCAGAGCAATCCTGTGTAATAGATTTGAATCGTTGTTTTCTTGACAGACTGTCTCTTGGTCGTCTGAAGTCTCCGTGGTACAGGGTGCCATATGAAGGAGATTTTCCAGCACTATGAGTGTACCATGCAATCTGGCCAGTTCCATTCACAAATATGCTGTGTCACTCTTTTCCCACCTGTCAGCCTGATATGAATGCCAAAATGGGAAAGAGCGGCATGCAACAGCTTTCCCATTACCCGTGGAGCTCATCAATCCAGTCTGTAGATGCACTTTGCTCATCTGCCCGCCAAGAAGTCAAGCACAAATATTACTTGAAAGTGCAATCTGTCATAAACCAACTATCCTGTCGGCTAACTGCTTGATGTGCAAGTAAAGTCCATTGTCATTAAAACAAATGGTTGTACACTCTTATTCATATTGTAAGAAAATTAGTTTTAATGAGTTTAACATGTTGCTACAAATGTTCAAAGAGCTGACCTTACATTTAGTTTTTTTAAAAAGCCCATAATGGGTTTTTTTGGGCCTACTTTATTTTGCTTTACTCCTTTCTAAATTACCATTTCCTTGTTCAATGCATTAAAGCATTAGTAATTTCATTCCTAATGATAACAAGGCTTTAAACACACTATTAAATAATGTCGGTTTTATTTTAGCCTCTCCAAAATTAGCCCAACAAGCATAGAGTAGTACAGCTTATCTCTAAAGCCGCAGAGTGTCGTGTTCAGGCCGCTGTCTGTTCTGAACACGCTCACACTCCACATGTCTTTTGATGTTTCCCAGGTGGTGAATAGTGCTGAATTTGCCTCACTTGGCCATATACCGCTCTAGGAACACACTGCTGTTTTGTGTGCTGTGCCTTATCTACTCACACAATTGTTCCCATTAATGAGATTAACTGAAGACATTCAGGAAATTAGCTGCCGTTTGCTGATTTGTTTCTGCCAAAATGGAGTGATTCTACATAAGTGTCAAATTTTACATCTGTCCCATATAGATACAGTAATTCACTGCCTGCTTGATTCTTACTCAGGGGAATAATCTTTTGGCTTAACTTTGTTTTTTTTCCCCCTGCTTGTCCATTTTCATTATGGGTCTTTGTAGATGTGCCGGAGGGTGAACTGCAATAGTTTAGATTAGGAATCGGTATGTCAGAGTAAATAAAACAAGGTCTAAGGTCATTCAGCAGCAATCACGCCTATTGTTGGACAAGCGGACAAGCATATACCGTAATGGGCAATTCCAAAAAAGCCATTTTTTAAATCTTTTTTACTTAAAATGGCTTTTAAGAAAAATCTTTCTGCAGTATTGTGCTTTGCATTGTTATCGTTTAGCTGTCATTGGCAGAATGCTTCAAATAAAGTGCCAGCCGATGTCCTAATGAGCCCACATTCTCTATACTTTGGAGGTGTTGCATCCAACAATTTCTGAAACAGACATCTGACAAACACATCAGACAGCGATGCCAGGTGAAGAGGTGAGAAGATGGCAGGATCTTAACTTCTCTGTCCAGCTTACCTTTCTGTGCACAACCAGCGAAGGCTTCCAAGGCAAGTCTCCCTCAAAACATCAAAAAAGATTATGGTTATGACAAAAAGTCTATTATGTGATGTAAAACTTGGTCTCAAGCTGTAGTCAAGAATTTGATGGACAAGGAGGGTACATATCCAGCTTTGTGTGGGTGTACCGTCTGCTAGGTTCAGCAACTTTGGCTGGATGTTGAACTTAGTCTCACACCTTAAACGCAGAAGTTCTTGAAACTTGCAAATAAGTTACTGTTTTTCAGCTGATATGCATTGTTAGTTGATGAGCTGTTTTTGCACTTGACTTTTCTGGCCATCTGTTTTAACAAACTGCAGCCACACCAACAGCTTCTCCGTGTAAGCCAGTTTGAGGTCGACTCTGAGTAAAGGTTCAGAAAAAAAAGTTAGACCTAGTCCAAACTGTGAAAAATGGGATGCTATCAGCACGCCCCATTTTTCACAGGTAGTCTGTTGCTTCCACTGTTGGGAATTATTGATCAGTCCTGGAAGGCTTGATCTATAGGGTTGTAGTGAGCATATCGACCAAGCAATCGAACAGCAGACACTGAGACTACAGCCCTTCTCCAGGCTGAAGAAATGATACATGGTCCTCCACCAGTGTGATGTACAACACACAGGCCCTCCTGTAGTGACACTGTTAATTATGAATGCTTTATGGATACTCACCTGCCGAAAGGAACTAAGAAGGCTTAATTTTTCCCAAGTTTTCCATGATTTTTATCGTTTTAAGCATTGCAATGTCTTGTAGATGCAAGTTTTCTAAGGAATTTCCTCCCATCTAGCGCCAGGAATGAGCTTGAATGCCAATAGGCAGAGAAGGGGCTTTGGATTTGTTGCACTGATTGAGAAGAAAACCTCACTCCTACCCCCCTGAATAATTCATTGATTGGCATATGGCGTGTAGAGAAAAGCCCAATGATCCCTGCATGTATGTCTGTGTGTATTCTTATTTCAACTGTAGTCCACAATGAGTTCAATTGAGCGTGTTCCTGTTCCCTCCCATCAATGATTTCTGCACACTTTTACCCTCACATTTAACCATCTTTAACCAGCTGCACTAAATTTAGTCACTTAAATGTCATCTGGTTCTTACAACACTTTCACTCAATTGCTAAAAATGTCAGTTTCTCTCCAAAAGTATCATTCTGGCAGATAAAATCTTACATATTCATTATGACAAGCGTTCATGACAAGGGATAGCCAGACATGCTAAAGGAATTTGTGGGAGCTCTCCTGGTACACATTAACATAATGTGCTGTGATGTTTCATTGCAGTGGAAATGAGCATAGAAAAACTATCAGTAGCCTTTCTGTCAGGCTATAAGAATTATCTGTAGACCAAATAGCTGTTTTAATAGTGGTCAAAATGGCTTTTCAGTTGTCAGGAAATAGTACTGTCACTGCTAATGAGTGCAATCTAGACAACATGTGCATCCCAGCTGGCAATAAGAGCTCTCAGTCCGGACATTCTTCACACAGCCCACTGTGGGTGATTATCTATTCAAGGGGAGTACACTAACTCTTACCTGTCACTGCTACTGCTTCACACTAGAGAGAGAACTAATAACTTGCTGCACAAACATGCCTTCCAATAGCAGCAAATACTGAGCAGCAGAGGAGCATTTACCCACAAAGAAAAACACATTTTGGGAAAACTTTATCCATAAGTTATTGTCAACAGAATATGCTGTACTTTTTGGTCTTTTTCTTGAGTAAAACTAGAGACTGATCTAATGGCTTTTGAATGGAATAATTATCCAGATAAGTGTCGTACTGAATGATATGGTTCAGTGTTTTTAAAGGTTGCTTTTTATGACTAAGAGCACAGGGGAAAGCAGATCAGACAGTGCATTTTCTCTCCATATCTATTGATTTTTCATAGACAGTGAAATAATTTAAGGGGCAGTCACGGTGAGATCAAAGCATAAGGTGCAGGAACAGGAAAAAAGGGGATTGTATGTGCCGAGAAGCAGAAAAAACATCCTCAGCACAATTTGCTTTCTACACAGCTTAAAGCAGAAATAAAGCGCCATCAAACAGCAAAATGTGCCTGTTTGTTGCTGCTTTGACGAGACAAATGAGATCAAGCCTAGGAGATTAACACCAAAAACGTAAAATTTTAGTAAACCTGAGAGTTAGGAGCAAGGTTTGAAACATTTTGACCATGGAAGAATCACTTGGAATCAATAAAAGTAGAAATTAGAAATAGAAATTAGTATTTGAGACTCTAATAGCCAATTGTATGCTTTGTTTTTGCACTAACATGTATTGAGTCATAGTCAGATGAATTACCTTCTACTTAAAATGCACCGCCGTTTGTCCTCAGTCTGTCCGCCAGCCGGCCTGCTCTCCCAAGCGATGGGTGGCATGTGCAGTGTGTCCAGCCAAGCAGCATGCAGGCTTCGGCTCTCTGGTCTAAATGGCCGCGGATGGTGGCTGAATAGTGAACTGGTGGGAGCCTGGACGGATGCCTGGAGAAGATATGGGAGACCCCATCTTACTGCCAGAACATGCTGAGACACAGACCTGGCATTGTAACCCACCCAGAGGGGACCAAGTCTGGGCAATAGGATATTGTTTTCTCACTAAATAAACCAAGTCTAGGACCAGACAATGAGAAAGTATGGTCTAGCACTGGAGCCAGAATTATCATTAATTTATAGGTATTTTGCATGTTGCTTCATGAGTATTGCACAGGCTAAGGAAATCTTTAAAGACTATGGGACATGGTTGAAAAACAACTGGGCCAAATTAGACTGATAGCCTGTTAATTTCATCTTTATAAATGCAGCTGATACCGATATTGTCACCACATAATGTTTGACCGAAATTGTCATTGTAGTTGCTATATTTTTCTATGAACACTTGCACTTGTTGAGCTTTTGACTACTCCTACTACACACTTTTACAGTTAAGACGAGAATTTAACATGCATAAACACCAAAAACCATGTAACACCTGAAAAACATCTGCCACTGGCATGTTTTCCAGTATAGGCAAGATGGTGACCAGTAAGAGTGAGAAATGTGACGTTCTACACAATTTTGTTGAATACGATCATACCATGGGCACCTGTAGTGCACATATGTGCTAAAAATAATGGGTATAAGTACAGTAGGACAAGATTTGACATGTAGAAAATTGCTAGCGTAATACTAGCTTAAAAATATGTAGAGTTGTTGTTTAATGAGTAGCTAGCTGTTTGCTAACCTAGCAAACAGCTGGTTTTAGGGACTTTGAATGTAAGATGTTAGCCTTTCTACTGTGTAGCTGAATAAAACCCAGGTTATTATCAGAAGTACATGGCTTGTTTATAACAATAAAATATATTTATGTAAAACAGTTATATTGCTGTAAGAAGGTATAGGCCTTCCCAACCTCTTGCAGCTAACTTTATTTTTTTAAGCTGACTTCCAACCTTGATACTCTCAAGGCAAAAAAAATGACTCTTTCCACTCTATAGTGGTAGAAAGTCATGAGAAGTGAGCAATGAATAATATCATTCAAACTTATAATTTTCTTTCATGGTCTGTGTTGAACGGGCCTTTCTAATCTGTGTGGCACTGAGCTACAAAAATACAGTGACTTCCCGTGGCTCATTTCTTTTTTTCTTACTTACCTGCAGTGATGCAAACATAACTTTAGCTTATGAACCGACCTGGACATCCGTTAGAATGATTCCTGAAGCTTTCTAAAAACCCTGAGGGGAGCTGGAATATTGCTTCACATATCCACTATAGCATAGATATGGTGTATTATGCAACTCGATCTGGGCTGGCCCATTAAACAGCACAAGCGTGAAATCTAGGGCAGAACGCCCAGCATCCCAAGACGTGTCTGCAGCTTTGAAACGCCGGGGTGACGCTGAGCCAAGCTCCAACTGTGTCAGGCCCAGTCACATGCACGCAGCCATACAAACAGAAGTGTGTGGATATTTACACAGAGGCATGCGTACAAAACAGAAGACATGGACAGACATGTTTGCTTTCCTATATACCCTGCTCTATACAAATACTCATCATTCCTATGAATTAGAATTTGATTCTCATCCATGCACAAACCCACTGTTATTATGTCTTCTTTCTTTTTCTTTTTCTTTTTTTAACTACAATTTTATTATTAGATATGTGTGGGTCCAAAAGGGAGTATGCTGCCTCTTATTTGAAGTTGTTCAGCAACTGTATTGTAATATGGGTGACAGTTTGTGTATGTATTATATGTAAAAAAAAAAATAAAAAAAAACTTAATTGGAAAGTTCAGAATGTAAATTGCCTATTGTCTAATTTCTGGTTTTTCGTCTCTTCAGCAGAGCAAAGATGATGTGTGAAGTGATGCCCACGATCAGCGAGGACACAGCTCTGAGCCAACGCGGCTCTCAGAGCAGCGCCTCAGACCCGGACTCACATTTTGAACAGCTTATGGTTAATATGCTGGACGAACGGGACCGGCTGTTGGACACATTGAGGGAAACTCAGGAGAGCCTCGGTCTGGCCCAGCAGCATCTACAGGATGTCATCTATGACAGAGACTCGCTGCAGCGGCAGCTCAGCTCCGCCCTGCCACAGGTAAGCAGCTTAAATCCCTGTTTTCAAAAGGTTTTTTAATATTATTGTAGAATCTTTGTATCCTTGACTTTTTGAAATTGCTGACATGACAAGAACGAAGGATTGACATGCAATTAAAGTAGGAAGCTGGAATAATGATGTGCTTACAAAGGATGTGTTGTGACTTCCATGACACTGGGATGTCATCTTTGACTTATTTTATGTGTGTTTTGTCATAAATTTGCTATAAAAATATTAAAATATTGTCCATCTAAACTTTATACTTTCTAAAACTTTCTTTGGTTTTATTGTTTTAGTGTCCTCTTCACAACATAACCTAATTTCCAAACAATAGTAAAGGCTGATTGCCAATGACTTTATTATTGTAAGGCAAGTCAAATACAAAACCGTTGGTTAGTTTTATGAACAATTACTTGGGTTAAAACGGACCCTTTTACAAGAAGGCAAAAGTCTCCTTCCTGCATCTTTTTTCTTTCTTTCTTGTTTTCTTCATTGTCACAGAGAGGAGTGGATGCTAATCTAAATGTATGCCTAAGCTGTTTTTTAACCATCAAATCAATGTCTTATCTCTGACTTTGTAAACAGTGTAGAGAAAAAAGTGTGCAAAGTCCAACTCTCATGATTGATAGAGGTAACATGCTGACACATGCATTTCCAGTGGATTATACAAATAAGAAGTACTTTTCAGCTGAAACTGGTTTTGGAACAAGTCTTGACGACAATACTGCCTTTCAAACATTTGTCATTTCATCAGACATTTTGCACATACGTAGTCATTCCCGACATAAATCGAACTTCACCCTCTCTTTAAATTAACCACTGTTATCGTTTTTCATGTTGGGCACCTGTTGCATACAGTCGTGTGAAAAATTAAGTACACCTCATAGTTCAATAGCTTGTAGAATCACCTTTAGCAGCAATAACTTAACAATCCTCCCATAACAGCATTTTCTGTATGGCTTTCTCAGTGTTTCACATTGTTTACGGAGGGATTTTCACCCACTCTTCTGAACGGTGTTGCTTTACTTTATTAAAGTTTGTTGTCATCCATTTATGGACAGCTCTTTTGAGGTCCTGCCACAACATTTCCATTGGGTTGAGATGTGGACTTTGAGTAGTCAAACTTGTTGATGATCAGTTAATTAAGTACATTTGATTAGCAGCACCTGGCTGCTACTTACTGTCTTAATTCCTATGGTATCAATAAGGGTATACTTAGATTTTACAAGACTGTGAAAACTTGT